CGAAACCGGTCGTGGTATCTTCTTTGATTCTTTCAGAAATGAATTCTGTCTGAGTCTCTAGTAACTAAGAAGGCGGTTGTAAAATTACTAAATATAATTAAATTTAAGTCGAGTTTTATATACAGATTTATGTACTTTTATTAGTTCTCAGTCATTTTCGACCCGAAAAACTTGCTGTTGAACATGATGGTACAGCGAACATTTTTCTACACGTGGATGTAAACATCTTCTAAAAGCCTCTGACCAATTTTGACTCAGATCCAAAATGCGAAAAGCCCCACGTAAGTGTCTCTTTCGGCCCACTAGAGGGGAAAAGAGACACTCCATTCAAATACATGGAGTTTGAATTAGTGATTGACTGCTAAGTAAACTTTAAAAATAATTAGTTGATAAATACCTTATTTTGTAGTCCAGATCTTCCTCTCTCTACGATTCGATTTTGAGCTCATTATCGTTTAACCTCAGCTCTCAGTTACGTGTGTCTTACTTGCGTACTATTTATACTAGCAATTTTCGCTTGTTGAACAGTCAAAATGATGTCATGGGTCTATTCCTCTTTCTTTTCGCTGCTCTATAAGTTACTTTCACTACTGATGATTTACTGTTAACTTGGTAAAGCTTTTAAATGGATGACGTTTAAAATACGAAAAAACACATACTGAATGATGATCTTACATTTTTATAACTGTTTAATGTAGTTGGAAAAAAAGCTTTTTATTTCTTGACACAAGATGCGTTAATTCACTTCATTATGTACTTTTACATATAAATTCAAGTGCCGCATAAAGTTAATGGATGAATCATGTGTGCTTACGTTTTCTCCAGTGAAAACAATAAAAAGAAGAGAAATGATTAGTTTTATTTTCCTCCCTCTCTCAAATTTGTAATCTGAATCACCAACTCTAAAGGTCAATAGTCAGAATTAGCGATTGAATTTCGGTGGACGACAGTAGATCTGGTGCATTTAATGGAACGTTTCAAAATCTCTTCCGGTCGGTCGGTCGCAATTCCACTATTACTCTATTCCTCGATTATTCCCCTATTATACCTCCGTCATTCCTTTCTTTTTTCACATTGAACCAACTTTATTGTTCCATAAGGTTAACAATATCTCCTCTCCATGTACAAAATAAAAATATGTGAACAAACATTATTGGAAAAAAGAAAACATATGAGTGAGTTGCATTGGCATTGTACCGTTGCTGTTCACCGATTATTTTGCTTATAAAAGTGATTCTACGGAACAAAACTTAATTTTATTTTTTAGGTTTGTTTGTTTAAAGATGGTTATTCAGTACTGAAAAATAAAAGTTTCTATCTCATTTGGTTGTCGAGATATGAACGAAACAAGGCCAAAACAGAGTAATTTTGGCGCCGTCTCTCGACAGAAACAGGAGTTTTCCTCCATCCTGTTTAAAGATTACTAAATTGTACTTTAACGGAACTTGTAGTCCGAAAACAGGGCTTTCAAATTATACACTTTGATTTCAAGTAAAATTAAGTTTATCATAAAAGCTCGAGGAAAAACTGCTGTTACAGACACTTTTCAAAATTCTGTCCTGCGAGACTTCAAGACGGTCTCCATACGACGCAAATTACTTAAAAAAATTTTCAAATAGGCAGAAAAATAGAGCAAGAGTAGCTCTACATTTTGCTAAAAGGTTTTTTCCAAGTCTTTATATCTCCTAATCTTATATCGGTTGTAGATAATTAAATGGGCTATCGAATGATAAAAAAATATTTAGTTTATGTTGTATATTTAGTGATAGGAAGGTTTGTGATAAATTTGACATTTTTCTTTAATACTCTTCCACAAATTTATTTAAATTATTTAAAATTTCCAATATGACGTTTCGTTCTTCAGACAAATAAAATAAAATAAAGGGAGAAGTTGTCGTCGACAACGAAACGTCATATTGGAAATTTTAAATAATTTAAATAAATTTGTGGAAGAGTATTAAAGAAAAATGTCAAATTTATGTTTTATACTAGCCGAGATATTTAAATTTTAAAATGAAGAATATTTTCGGAAAATTTTAATTTTCTAGTTTAAATTTTTTATTTACTTTAGTAAAAGCTTTTTATTGAACAGCTTTTCAAAAATATGTAGGAAGGTTTGTTCTTTCAAATTATGTCAGCTGAAGAAACTATTGTTTAAACTGTTAGGCTGCTGATGGTGGAAAACGAAAGGTCATATTTTGCTGGAATTTTGAGCTCGTTTTCTTAGTCATTCTTGATTTTCTCGAAGTCATATCGAGATCTCGTATGTTCCATTTTCATAGGCGGTTGACCGAAAACTAGGCACTACAGTCTTGGGGACTTACAGGATTAATGTTGAGAAGTCTCTCAAAATGCAAGAACAGTTCCATTGGTAATTCTGTTTTTATGGACAAAATCATAGCGAAAGTATCCAAACAAAAACTGATGAGATATGATAAACGATATAGAGAAAAAATGAAACTCAAACGTGGTCAATCAAAAATATTCGATAAAAAGTTTAAGAAGAAACAAGCATTAGCTAAAGCCACTTGGCGTAAAAAACAAAAAGAATTAGAAAAAGCATCAATTAGTTCACTATCATCATCAAAACCTATTGATTTACGTACAACCGAATGGAAAGAGAAGACGTCGTCAAAATACATTAAAATTAAAAGAAGAAAATAAACAATTACGTAAAACTGTTCGTACATTAGAACAACAAAGCCAACGTCTACGATCATTATCAATATCGTCAAGTTCATCAACAAAAAGTTCACCATCACCAAACAGTAAAGAAAATAAACGAAAAAGGAAAGAAAATAATAATGAACCAATTTCACCATCAAAATTATTATTAGAAAGTTTAAGTCCTGATGCACGTAAGCGTGCTACTCTTCGTATGATGGATCAGAAAAATCAATTATCAAAAGGCTCTATAACAGTAGGGTTTTTCTTCTCCTCTCTATTTTTAAACTAAAATTTGAACGGAAAAAATTCTAAAAAGACTTTTCTGTTTCCTAAACTGAAATTTTTTATTGATTTTAGCAAGTACGAAACAAATTTGGTATAAATCTTTCAAATCAATATGCACCAAGTTCAACCGCAACAATGACAGCACTTATTTATCAAAGAATTGAAGAGTTTTTCAAACAAGATACAGTATCTCGTATATCTCCTGATAAATCAAAACATAAACATGGTCATCAAATAAGGTTGAGATTAAATAATCTTTCTAATTTACATGTAGGTACTGAAAATATGATAAAAAGGTCTTCAGTTGAAACCTCTCACTATATACAATGAGTATTTGTTTATGTACCATCGAGTTTTTTTCTAATATTTATACGACATTTTTGAATTTCAGCAACGATTCGAAGCTGAAACTGGTATTGACATTGATTATACAACATTTACACGACATGTACCTGATTATATAATGAAACCAAATCATGATTCCTGGGGTGTAAGTATTTTTCTGTCACCTAAAACTACACTCGATATATAATATTTTATCGTTTTTTTAGACATGTCTTTGTATGACCTGTTTGAATCCAGAATTAAAGACAGATAAATTACGTAATATGACACATAAACATCCATCAATTCAAAATATAATAAGTTTAATATCTCCAGATTTAGAAGAATTAGTTAAAGATGCTACAAGATTAAATAAATTCAAACTTGAATTATCTAAATTAAAACATGAAAGTTTTAATATTACATATCCTGAATGGCAAAAAATTAAATCAGATCAAGCTAAAGCTCCAATTTCAACAAAAGTTATGGAAACATCAATAATTGAACGATTTGTAACTAAATTATCATCTGAATTAGATGTAAGATTTCCACCACACAAAACTTTTATGATCTTTGCTAATCCCGTTGTGTTCTATATTTAGTTACTTGCTTCACATTTAATTCGCGTACGTGCACAATTTCATGCTGCTAAATTAGCTAAAAGTCAAGCTTTAAGTAAGAAATATAGCACTGCGACAAAATGCATGTTCAAGTTATCACTTAAAAAAAAAAGTCAAGCATTAAATGATTCTGATACAGCTGTTATTTTGCTCGATTGTAGCGAAAATTTCACTTTGAGACAGACAAGAGAAGAAAAGGGTATTCATCTATTTATTTCTGGCTTGTTATATGTTTGAAAATTAATTTTTTTTCATACAGGAGCTTATTATAATACAAAAAATATATCATTACATACTGGTTATGCGTATACGAAAGAAGAATGTTATAGTTTTGCATCAATTTCGGATGACACAAATCATATGTCAGAAGCTGCATGGGGTAGTCTCAAAGAATTGTTAATTGAAATAATCGAAAATCAACATAAATCAAAAATATAGTTTATTTCAGTAAGTATTGGACAAAACAGATCATGTCTCAACTAATGAAGTTTTGAGAAAAACATTAATTCTTTCTTATCTTATTTAATATTAGGATTCTCCTATATCACAATACCGTAACAAAACAACAGCATTTATGATAAAACATTATTGTTTAACAGAAAAAGTTAATATAAATTGGATATTTTATGAAGCAGGACATGGAAAATGCATTGTAGATGGTGTTGGTGCTTCACGTAAAAGACAATTTGACCAATTAGTTGCATATAGTCCCGATAATAGTTATCAATCTGCGGTTTGTATTGAAATTTCTCTTTTCAAATCTTCTCATGTCAACCACATAAAATTCTATTTTAGAAAGATTTAATGAAAAATCTTGAAAATGATACAAATATACGTTTGTTTATGTATAATACAGATGACATTGATTCAATAAAACAACAGATACCATCATTGAAAACAATAAAAGGAACAACAAGAATGCATGAATTAATTGGAAAGAAAAATGGTCAATTATATAGTAAAGATTTATCATGTGAAAAAGAAAAGTTATTAAAAGTTACCTTTTAAATTACAAAGAATAGACAAAACTTAGGCTTTCCATTTGACAGTTTGCTTTGAACAATTTCTGTCAATTAGTGCTGTTGGGATTTTTCGATGGTAACAATTACGCCTTACAATGCAAAATCTTTAATAGGATTGTATTGCTTTTCTTTCATGCTACGATAGGCCAAGGTATCCTCTTCAAAATGAGAGTCAAGCGAGACCTTGATTTTCCGCGGCTCGGGTGTTGTGTCGGATCTCGTGCGGACCCCAGGACTGGCACTCGGTGACTATTGGTAGCCTTGAGAACGAATGGGTTATAGGTAGTCGATCATGCTGAGTCTTGTGGCAATATTTGTTTTCAGAAAAGGTTCTAAAAGTGAACCGAAAAGCGAGTTTTTACGAAAATTTGGGTTTTCAGGCTGTTTTCACCTTCTATTAAAATATTCACTATTCACTCAATAAACATCAGAACGAATTCAAGACTTCGGAATGTAGAGTATTTAAGCTGTTCTATATCCTATTTATAGGAGATCTCAAAAGAAATTTTACAAAACTCTAAGGTTTTCCAAAAGGGTTTCTGGAAAACCCATTAACACAAATATGCTTTTTCGATTTTTCCGATCTTATAAACATGTTTAGTGGAGAAAATTAACCATATCCTGAAGGTCTGAACTCGTTCTGATGCTTATTTACCTTCCAAAAAGATGATCATCGGAACAGAGTGAGTTGTGAAATTTAATTTAGGTTGTAACTTCTTAATTATTAGGCTTTCCTTTATGAGTAAATGGTACGAATGATTATCATGATAAATAACTTCAAAGTTTTCCAATCGATTTTGTGTTCTGTTTCACTTTTATGCTTTGCTAAAGACGATTTAGCCCTCTTATCATCTTCACTACTTGTAGAATTTCCATTGGTAGTCGTTGAATTTAATTGTGGAACAAACAGTTGTGTGTCATTAGTTTCAGTTGTCTGGGATATTCTTAACTGCTTATCACGTAACCGAGACGACCGACGTGGAGCTGAGTAAGGTGTAACCGCTTTAACCTTCTTTCTCCTTCTAATTGGACCGATCGAGTCTTGCAGCTCGTCCGTACTATCCTTCTTATCATCAGATCCCTCTTCATCATACATCCATTGAAAGCCTAGTTCATCAAAGAGTTGTTTAGGAACATCATCTTCTTGAAGTCTTGGACTAGGGAAAATATTATCTATACGTTTAGCCCCTCTTCGAAATAGTCCATTTGTTGTTCGAGACACTGGAGATTTTGTCAAAAGGATTTCAACTTTGAGTTCGGAAGATGTAAAAAGGAAAATGATTTCGTTCGATGTCACATGACTTTTCACGAAGGTTCCTCTCACGTACACGATCGAATTGATACTAAATGAGATGTATCCTGAATGTACGGAAACTTGTCGAGGAAAACCGAGAACGAAACAATGTGCGGCATGTAAAGATCATAAAAATTTTGAGACTCTGTTACGATCAGCAACATCCGAAACGCACCTGATATTTGACAATAAAACGTATATTCAACATAATGGGGTCGCAATGGGCTCTCCTCTTGCCCCGATTATTGCAGATATTTTCATGTCTCACTTGGAGAAAACGCTAATGAGCAAACTTGAACGAGTCGGTGTATGTCTGTGGTTGAGATATGTGGATGATACATTTGTTCTCATTGAACGTGATACACAAATACAAGATATCGTGAATATTTTAAACAGTTTTCATCTAAATATCGAATTCACCTTTGAAGTTGCGCAGAATGATCAGTTACCATTTTTAGATGCGAATGTTATACGAACTACAGAAGGTACTAAATTTGAAACAACGGTATTCAGAAAAAAGACGTTCACAGGGCTTATGATTAAATGGTCGTCTTTCGTTCCGTTCGAATATAAAAGAGCAGCAGTTGTTAGTATGGTGCAGAGAGCGTTATTGATTTGCTCTAACTACTTCCTGCTATCTAGTGAATTTGAGAATATTCGACACATTGCTGAACAGAATGGCTATCCTCTCTCATTCGTAAATACACGTATTGGGATTGGTCTGACTAAGTGGCTCATAAAGAACAATGTCGAAAAAACTAACATGCTAGTGGAGCCAACCAGAAAGAAGATGTATGTTGAGCTACCATATGTTGGTAATGGCACAAGTGTTCTACAGAAAAAACTAAAAGTATTATCAGGCAGAATACGGCCTGATGTCGGACTACGTTTCTATTCTAAACCGCCACCATCATCTCAGTCATTTTTTCTATTAAAAGACAAAATACCAAAACATCTGCAATCTGACCAGCTGCAATATTAGTCATTATTATAGAGATGAACAACGATGACCTACCGGTTTTCTGGGATTTTACCGAATATTTCGGATCTTAGGGTACTCGGTTACATTTTCTTAAGGCTAGCTCATATATCATTTTATAGCTCGTGAAATTCTCTATTGAACGGTGTGTAACTGTTGATATTTGCTCTGGGTGGAACAAGTTGAATAATGTAAATCCTTTATTCCACGTTATGCAAAAATTGCAGCACCAATTCATAAAGTAACAAAGAAAACAAACACGAATTTTCACCAGTGACCAGTCTTATCAGTACCTGTTTTTTAAGTTTTTTTTCTAGTTCATGGTCAGGAATATTTCCCGGATCACCAAAGATCACATCATTTGATTCTAACGATGTTTGCTGAATTTGATTTGTTCGTTCATCACAGGTATAGATTCTGGTGAGCGCAAGTAGTATGAATTGATTTGGATGTATTGACCAACACATATAAGTTATTTCATTATTGTTCCATTTTATTACAGTTTGATTATTATTTGTCTTCATTGACCAAAGCTTTTGAGTTGCTACATCATGTCGATAATGAAGAAAGGAATTGAATGAGGCACCAGACACACTCCATTCACCATTAGGGATATCAACAACTAATCTTGGTTTTGCTGTAGTTAACTGACTAAAATCGAATGCATCTTTTAATGGCAATTTAGTTTGCTGCACATCTGCAATTTCTTCTATTTCGATCAATGACGTTCAATCAATTTTGTTACTTTTCGTTGTTGAGACAGTTATCGAAGTTGATGCACATGAGACTATAAGATGGTGAAATTTTTTGAATTGTTGTTTCCATCGATGTAAATCGGTTTCAGCAAAGTTTTGCGTTGATTTTTTCGCTCAAATATCATTCTACATTAACCGAAAATCTTTTTTATACTGTTTCATTAATTTTATTACGAAATTGAACAACCTTTTGTCCTGTTTCATCAGCAGCTTGTTTGACTTTCATGGTCATCCCATGCTCCCAGTGATCAATTGCTTCCATAACAGGTTGTTCCGAAGACTGATTTATGACGTCGATAATGATGATTCGAATAGCTGTTGTAGTAATACATTATGATCGCAGATAATACGATCAAGTTCTATGGCAAGTTTTTGTATATGTATGGTGAAATGTTCATCGTAAAATGTTTGTTTACAACCTTTACATTCAGCAACACCATCCAAACGTGTTTTGCAGTTAATATTTCACGATGACGAAGCCATTTTTCTGTGATCGAAAATAAAGGAGGTGGGCGTACCTGATCATAAAACGGCCCCGCATATTTTTGCCTCTTTTTGACTGGACTTTTGTAGGAAAGACATTTGCACACATTGTCCAGTTGTTCTTATGGAAAACCAGCTCAAAATACGTTGTTAACGTTGGTTATTTTGAGATTCCACCAGAGAATGTCGTTGTTAGAAAAAATAATATTTTTAAAACATCTAGCATAGGTGTCACACAAACCTTGATATGAAAAAATAGCCAGTGAAAAACTGAATAAAATACCAGACGAACAATCTTTATACATCATTTCAATAGGAAGAAATTATTTTTACAAGAGACAAATTGCACCTAAAAAGACGATATCAGCGATGTTTTGAGTGCTTTTTTTTCCATAAGCAAACAAGGATGCGACTTGTATTTGATATAGAAAAATAGCCAATGAAAACTCATAACAAAAAAAAGCAATCAAAAGTAATGTATTCGGTATCCGTACAAAAGTAAATCATTAGAGAAAAACTTTAATGACTAGTTATAAAACAACATGGATAGCATCATTTAGCTGTATTTAATAAAGTATATATGTTGTTATAAGACTTTGCGCTCTTACCATTGTGACAACGTAATCCCAGTATGGTAAGAGAACAAGAAAAAGGAGGACATGTTTTTTTCAACGTCGTTGTTCTTGATCCTATTTTCACAGAAGAAGGGCAAGAATAGAAAGGCAAGAGAACAGCAAGGAGATTTATGCTACTTTTACAAGGTAAAAAATCATTGTACTTGTCTCATACACTACGTTTTTCAAGGAAATAAGTTGTTTCTCTATATCTGATTGTTTGAACAAAGTGCAGTGATTAACTAATACAAGGAGATTTCACAAGACTCGATTATTTTGCGCATGAGAGACGGAGATATTGCTGATGATTTCTGAGGAACTAATAGTATAATAATAATCAACTCTGACGTTCGTATGTTTATTTTAACCAAGGTCCGATAACTAAAAGCCAAAGTCTTCATCTACCTCAAAAATTTACTGCTGTATTTGTTTCTTTTTCACTTTTTCATTAACTCGATATGTTATAGTCATTTTCTTTCAAAACGAAAGTCAAAAACAGCCTCGTTCAGGATATATTTAATATCCCCCTCTGTGCTAGTTTTCATCGAATTTTATATAGCACCCTAAACGGTGCATTATAGCTGAACCCCATGGAATCTGCATCGGTTTTGAGCCCTCTCTCGAGTGGCATTGTCCGCTTTATATAAAACGAGCCCCCAAAAAACCATTCATTGGTTATAGATCGATTGGCCTATACAGGTTATCTCGATCAGGATTTGTAGCTCAGTCGGGATCGTCACATGATATCCTTCATAGTGAACATATACTGTAATGCTTGATGCGATGCAAACCCGAAGGTTTGATAGGTGAATGAACCAGCTGATATGATAATATGCATAATATCCCGCAGAAGACCAGCATCTTTCTGAAAAAAGTCGACTCTCCAATCTTCCGCAAGGATTCTCTAGTTTCCCTTTGTCTCACAAACGGGAAAGCGCACACGAAAGATATAACGCTCAAATTTTCTATAAAATTAGCAGACTACGAGTAAAAGCACAAGAGAAAATCTCTTAATTTTTGTTTTGACTGGCTTACTGAATTATTACTGTTACTACACATAGTGTTCCTTTAGAACAAAACATTGCATAACTTTTGAAAGAACTGATATGGGTCCTCTCAGAGATGGGCAACTCCAACTCCGGAGTTGAGCTTCTTTTTAGTGGAGTTGGAGTTGAGTTGGAGTTGAGTTGGAGTTTCGTTTTTATTAGATTAGAGTTGAGTTGAGTTCAGATTTTTTCAACTCCAACTCCACAACTCCAGTTAAAAATTTTTGCAATTCTGAAAATTTTTTTTGTTTTTGTTACGTCACATAAAAGCAATATTAACATATGTTCAACGTTTATATATTCTGAATATGTTAAACTTATGTGTATATATGCTACCGATGATCATATGATCTCGATTGAGCGAATAAAAGAAAACATTGCAGCGTTGTCGCTTTCTGCAGTGATCACATATAAAATAAAGGAGAAAATGAATCAAGACAAAATAAGTTCCTATTGGAGTTGAAACGGAGTTGGAGTTGGGATCTGCGGAGTTGGAGTTAGAGTTGGAGTTGAACTTAGCCGGAGTTGCCCATCTCTGGGTCCTCTTTTAAGGATTTTTATCAGCTCACTTTCCTCTGTTAACTGACATAATCTCACTAAAAACGGAGTTGGCTAGTGTAATGAAGGGCTTGGTCTCATGATAAAAATATCGTTTATATTCAGGTCAGGTGTACAGTACAAAAATTGAAACCAGAATGATGTGCTATTCATGCTTTTAGCAAAAATCTTTTTTCTTCGCCAAAAATCGCCTGAGGTGAGGAGACTATAGGCGATATCTTTTATCATGAAGGAGATCTCATCTGAGTTTTTCAGAACTGCTGTTTTCTTCATAAAATATTTCCTGAGATTATTATTCATGTTGGTCCTCTTCCCAAGTGTAAACTCCAAAACCAGTAGTGCATTTGTAGAGAATTGCATTTTTCATCAGCTCAGACGATTTACAAAATTTTCACACAAATTACGAAAGTGAGAGTTAAAATTTAAAAACTGTATATCCTAGATCTAATTTTTGTCGAAATTGAGGTCAATATTCGTAATCGGAATAGACGCTGCTAGAGAACAAGTTCCTTTCGCTTGACAACGTTTTTGCTAAAATCAATATCATAGTCGGGATTAGCACGTCAAGTTGCATGCCGAGGCATGTGTAAGGTCAACATTTCGGAAGCAAACTCATTACACTAACACATCCATAAATTAACGTGACTAACACGAAAAAACCTTTCTGCTTTGAGCTTTCTGGATCAAACTTAACAACTCTTTTGTCATAATAAGTATGTAGGACCTTTTATTCATAATCCAGAGTATTCGTCACTCAGTATGTCATTAATTAATCGACAAAAAACTAATTTTCTCATGTCTGCATTCTTGAAGCAATTTTTCAAATATTTTCATTATAATTAAGTATGGGGAAATGTGGTTTGATCACCAAAAATGATTGTTTTGATCACCAAATTTCATTCTGTCGAAATGATCACCAAAAAATAACATTTTTGAGCATCAAATCAATTAAGGAAAATTTAAATGAAAGAAAATATATACAAGAAGACTATATAGCAATTAATTAGCAATGATTACCATTTAATGAATAGACAGACAAGGAAAATACTATAAAGACACTTCAGAGAATATACATCAAAGAATTTCAAAGGCGGGAGGGGCGGTGTGAGAGTGAGTGTCGACGAATCGGGACTGAATCCTTTATAGTATTTTCCTTGTCTGTCTATTCATTAATTGGTAATCATTGCTAATTAATTGCTATATAGTCTTCTTGTATATATTTTCTTTCATTTAAATTTTCTTTAATTGATTTGATGTAGGTATCGAATTTTTTGACTCTCCCTGGTACCGAACCGGAAGTACCAAATGATTCGATATCTAACAGGGTATCGAACCAAAATTTTCTGTGCTGTGCAAAAACAGTACCGATACCGAAGTACCGACAATTACCTAGTCATGACATCCCTGATGTTATAACGTTAGACTGTTATAACTCTCTTATACAAAACTAGATATTCTTATGAAGAATCAAAAAAGTCTTTAAAAAATCTAATTAAAATAATGAAGGAGTTTATCTGAATTTTTATAGTATTAGATGTATCCTAATCTGTTCTTTCTATTCGAATTCTTGAAAAGTCGAACAGCCTAGCGTTACGCGTAATGAAAGAAGATCAGCAGCTGAATCAAACGCGTACTCACTTCAAAAGTTGTTACACAGTTCTTTTCTTATATTTACCAGCAATAACACAACTGATGCACATAATACTGCCATTCTTTTCAACAACAAGAAATCAACAAAATCTAGGCATGATATGTCTTTTATTATTGATGATGTGATTAACATGATACATAAATAAAAAAAAATACAAAGTTTACTGGTGTTAATAGCATTCAAGTCCAATTTCTTATATTACGTGCAAATATGATAGCTCCACAATTTCATCATTTTTCTTCAAACTCGTTTTGTTAGACAAGGAATACTACTCTATTTTAGATGCCTTACATGTACTTTTCTTTTAGAAATTTCATATAGAATAATACACATTCCTTCAGATGCTAGTGCTTTATAACAAAAATGATATATTTTATATTCAAATTAAAAAGTACAGCATGAGAAAATAGAAGGCACACCATAAAAGAATTGTACAATCAATCTTCTTCATTTCACAGATTTCCATCTATACACAACAAGATAAATCGAGACTTGAGAAATGGATGAATTAATTATTCTGATGGCTCTTGATTATATATCACTTCCATTTCTAATGTGAAAACTTCTCCTATTTGTTAAAATTTGTCCATAAATAATTCGTCGAATTTTCTTGTTTAGGCAAACTAGTTATAGAATGAACGAGCATGAGAAAGATGTAGATAAAGCAATAATAATATTTCTCACAAGTAGTTTTTCTCACAAGAAAAAGCCAGTGGTCTATCATCGGAAAAAAATAAAGTTGATTTTGACTTGCTGAAAAGTGTCTTTTCGTATTCAGCACACTCAATAATGCCGAAGATTTTCTATTTTTGGCGCGGGGTACTTTCAAAAGTTTAGGAAAAATTTCAGAACTAATATTATTGTCTTATGGAAATATTTTTGCGCCATTTTGTTTCAAAATTTTTCCTAA